AGCGGGCCTCTCCTCGTGTCCCCCAAGGCGGTCGAGAGTGGGCCTCGTGTCCCCCAAGACGGTCGAGAGCGGGTCTCGTGTCATGTCCCCCAAGGCGGTCGAGAGCGAACCTCTCCACGTGTCCCCCAAGGCGGTCGAGAGCGGGCCTCGTGTCCCCCAAGGCGGTCGAGAGCGAGCCTCTCCTCGTGTCCTCCGCGACAGAGGAGAGCGGAACTCTCCTTGAGTCCCCCACGGCGGGGGAGAGGTGTCTCTCTCAGTGGAGGAGAGCGGCGGACCTCTCCTGCACCTGTCCCCTCAGCGGCACTGCCAGTGTAATGGCATTGCCGACTAATCCAGAAACCGGAAGTTGGAAACCGGAACTCGGCTTCACAATGAGGCTTGGAGTGCAGGTGCATCCGCTCCATCATCTGTGCTCGCCACACAAGAATTTCTCCTCGCATTTGGCAAGCCGCTTTTTCAAGCCCTGCCATAATGCATACATATGAATACAAAACAAATTGTGCGGTCATGCAACACTGTACCCATATGCAAATAATCAAAATCCTCCTGCGCTTTGAAAATGGAACTCCTAAACCTATTCCTTAAGCTGCCAGCACTCAAAAACTGATACCAAAATAACAGTGTCAATGAATAATAAGTGAACAGTGCAGCGCTCTAAAAAACTACAATTCAATATAAAAAACTACAATTCAATAAAAAATGACAATAGTGATATAAATAAAAAATTAGTGCCAACCCATATTAAAAATAAGAAATTAGGTGCAAAACCATGACCATAAAAATAATGTGCCCACCATTCAGTATGATATTTGACACTCCAAACATCATCCAATTAAAAACTTTAACAGTGCTCACACAGTCCCACAAAAATAAATAAACATAATATATGTAACAAAAAAACAATTCCTATTAGTGTAATACCAAACAGATCATGCGATGTGCAGCAGTGATATAAATCAGCATATATATCACCAAAATGAATCAACATAAATATAAACAATATTATGAACAATGTCCTTTAGGTGAAAAATAAAGCAAATCATGCGATGTGCAACAGTGATAATGGATGAAAAAACGTGACTGTGCAAAAATCCTCTTTCGTTAATGGCTAGATTGCCTCCTCACCTCCTCCTACTGACCCCTAAGGGCCAACAGGCTTGCAGGATCACCCTGGATCCTTAGTATGTAATGGCCAGCAGCTTCCTTCCTTCCCTGGAGCTCCTTTGCAGGGTTCAAAATACCCTTATTTCAGTCAGGGCGGTCCTGAAGAGTAATAGCTCACCAATCCAGTGAGCCAAAAAAACTCTCTAAGTGCAGTATTGAGTCAACTTCATTTATTAAATATAGAGTAAAAAGGTTTAACACTCACATTGCAGTCAAACTTCCCCCTCCTCACTGATGTGTGGGTGTACTGCATGCGAGTGGGACCTCTCGGGTATAGCAAGATGGCGTCTCACGCCGGAAGTGCGTCACCACGCACCGAAACTACGGACTCGCGTACCTACGCGTTACGTCACCGTCTACTCGTGACTTCATCTGGGTAACACCCTACGAGCCCAGTTCCTCCCTTTATACTGGACCTAATATTATAATACAACTAGAGGTCTACCTCACATGTAATCCTCCGTACCCGCGCCATTTTCCCGACTACATCTCCTATTAGAAACGGCGGCCATTTTCCCCGACTCCCTCCTGTCATTTTCCCTGCCGCATATTACAATATGCAATAGATGGGAGAATCTCCTGTCAGAGAATCCTAAGAATAGGTAATTGTCCTATATAGTGAAACTTAATAATACATGCCTGTGGATTTAAAATGGGAATAAATACATAAATATATTGATACTCTGTCCACATCTCTGGGGAATAAACCTAAGTGGATACCCATATAATTAATACCAATATAGGGACAATTACCTATTCTTAGGATTCTCTGACAGGAGATTCTCCCATCTATTGCATATTGTAATATGCGGCAGGGAAAATGACAGGAGGGAGTCGGGAAAATGGCCGCCGTTTCTAATAGGAGATGTAGTCGGGAAAATGGCGCGGGTACGGAGGATTACATGTGAGGTAGACCTCTAGTTGTATTATATAATATTAGGTCCAGTATAAAGGGAGGAACTGGGCTCGTAGGGTGTTACCCAGATGAAGTCACGAGTAGACGGTGACGTAACGCGTAGGTACGCGAGTCCGTAGTTCCGGTGCGTGGTGACGCACTTCCGGCGTGAGACGCCATCTTGCTATACCCGAGAGGTCCCACTCGCATGCAGTACACCCACACATCAGTGAGGAGGGAAGTTTGACTGCAATGTGAGTGTTAAACCTTTTTACTCTATATTTAATAAATGAAGTTGACTCAATACTGCACTTAGAGAGTTTTTTTGGCTCACTGGATTGGTGAGCTATTACTCTTCAGGACCGCCTGACTGAATAAGGGTATTTTGAACCCTGCAAAGGAGCTCCAGGGAAGGAAGGAAGCTGCTGGCCATTACATACTAAGGATCCAGGGTGATCCTGCAAGCCTGTTGGCCCTTAGGGGTCAGTAGGAGGAGGTGAGGAGGCAATCTAGCCATTAACGAAAGAGGATTTTTGCACAGTCACGTTTTTTCATCCATTATCACTGTTGCACATCGCATGATTTGCTTTATTTTTCACCTAAAGGACATTGTTCATAATATTGTTTATATTTATGTTGATTCATTTTGGTGATATATATGCTGATTTATATCACTGCTGCACATCGCATGATCTGTTTGGTATTACACTAATAGGAATTGTTTTTTTGTTACATATATTATGTTTATTTATTTTTGTGGCACTGTGTGAGCACTGTTAAAGTTTTTAATTGGATGATGTTTGGAGTGTCAAATATCATACTGAATGGTGGGCACATTATTTTTATGGTCATGGTTTTGCACCTAATTTCTTATTTTTAATATGGGTTGGCACTAATTTTTTATTTATATCACTATTGTCATTTTTTATTGAATTGTAGTTTTTTATATTGAATTGTAGTTTTTTAGAGCGCTGCACTGTTCACTTATTATTTACTGTACCCATATTAACTTTTTTATCATTGTTTTCACACAAATAGAGCTTTCTTTTGGTGGTATTTAATCATCACTGGGTGTTTTATTTTTTGCAAAGTTTCTATTATAAAATTTTGAAAACAGGCATTTTTTCTCCTTCACTGATGTCCTTTGATGAGGCTGCACTGATAGGCAGCATTGGTGAGCATTGATGTGGAGGCAATGATGTGCACTAATAGGCAGCACTGAAGGGCACTGACTGGTGGCACAGATTGGCAGCACTGATGGGCACTTTTAGGGCTGCACAATCAGGTACCCTGGTTATCAGTGTAGATGTCTCCTTTCACAGTTGGCAGTTATTGGCAGTATTTTCCTCACACTGACAGCTTGAGGAAAGTACTGCCGATAACCAGCAAGTGTGTTTATATGGTGATTAGCTGTGATTGGGCACAGATGATCACAAAGAGCGCCGGGTGCACGCTGCTGGGGTGTGTTCTGGGAGAACATCATATGATGCCCTCCCAGAACTGGACAACCATGCTGTAGCCATCTTTCGGCTATAGAACAGTCAGAAAGTGGTTAAGTAATCAACCCCAATGATTTCCATATTTAGATTTCTATGCATTACTGTTGAGAGAACAGAGAATGTATTTTTACATTTCTTAAATACTGCATGCCTGGACCACTACTTGTATTTAAATAATTTTATTTCTGTAAATTGACTAATGCTTTTTCATGAGGTATTTACCAAGCGTTTTGCGCTAAATAAGGCAAAACGGTATAGTGAATTGACAGTTTCAGGATTGCATGCGACATTTAGGGTAGATGTGTCCGGACACCTAAAAACCGCATGCGATCTGTTTGAGGTATGTGAACTGACGCAGGGAAACGCAGGCTTCAGATATGTTATAAACAATATAATTTATTAATACTAACAATACATAAACGCAGTGCAATACTAAAACATAACACAGTGCAAACGAACCAAACCAAACCACCCACAGATAACAATACATACAATGCAAGCGTAGTCAGGCAGGCCGGGTCAATAACAATCGGGCAGGTAGGAACAGGGGGTCAGGCAGAGAATGGTCGGGGTCACAAGCCAGGGATCAAACAGGAGAAGTCAGCAGAGGTCCGGATCAGGCAGGGTCGGCAACAAACCAGTCAGGCAGGAACAGGAACAGGAACAGGAATGCAGGTAACAAGATACAGGGGCCCATGGAAAAACACACACCAAGGCACAGACTGCAGGTCTGGCCATCCCTTAAATACACCTGCAATCAGCCTCAGGTGTTTTGGCTGACTGCAGGGTTGTGTCTCTGATTGCTGAGAGCACCCGCTGGCCAGCTCTGGTACTGCAGCCCACAAGGCAGGTGAGTCCCACCATTATTGGCAAGTCCATTACTGACAGTACCCCCCCTCAAGGAGCGGCCTCAGGACGCTCCAAACAGTCCTAGCTGGGCAAAATGTTCCACCGCCCGGGTCTGGTAACTGGCGGGATATCAAAGACTGGCACATCGGGCTGGACTCCGGGCAGCGGCACATCGGGCTGGACTCCGGGCAGCGGCACATCGGGCTGGACTCCGGGCAGCGGCACATCGGGCTGGACTCCGGTCAGCGGCACATCGGGCTGGACTCCGGGCAGCGGCACATTGGGCTGGACTCCGGGGAGAGGCACAGGGCCCCCAGGAGGAGTGGCAGGCACAGGGCCCCCAGGCGGGGCGGCGGGCGCCGGGCCCCCAGGCGGGGCGGCGGGCGCCGGGCCCCCAGGCAGGGCGGCGGGCGTCGGCCCCCAGGTGGGGCGGCGGGCGCCGGGCCCCCAGGCGGGGCGGCAGGGCCCTCAGGTGGAGCAGCGGGCCCCCAGGCGGAGCGGCGGGCGCCGGGCCCCCAGGCAGAGCGGTGGGCGCCGGGCCCCCCAGGCGGAGCGGCGGGCGCCGGGCCCCCAGGCGGAGCGGCGGGCATGAGGTCACCAGGCATCAGGTCATTTGGCTCGCCAGCGGGCACCGCGTCATCTGGCAAGGCAGTGGGCACCGAGTCACCAGGCACGACAGTGGGTTCCGAGTCAACTGGCATGACCGCGGGCACTGGGTCAGACATTGGATCGTCTGGCTCGACAGCGGGCATCGGGTCACCAGGCATCAGGTCATTTGGCTCGACAGCGGGCACCGCGTCATCTGGCAAGGCAGCGGGCACCGGGTCATCAGATACCGGATCGTCTGGCTCAACAGCAGGCACCGGGTCATCTGGCGCTGGATCGTCTGGCTCGACAGCGGGCATCGGGTCACCAGGCATGACCGCGGGCACTGGGTCATCAGGCATTGGATCGTCTGGCTCGACAGCGGGCATCGGGTCACCAGGCATGACAGCGGGCACTGGGTCATCAGGCATTGGATTGTCTGGCTCGACAGCGGGCATCGGGTCACCAGGTATGACAGCGGGCACCGGGTCATCAGGTACCGGATCGTCTGGATCGACAGCGGGCACTGGGTCATCTGGCGTTGGATCGTCTGGCTCGACAGCGGGCATCGGGTCACCAGGCATGACAGCGGGCACTGGGTCATCAGGCATTGGATTGTCTGGCTCGACAGCGGGCATCGGGTCACCAGGTATGACAGCAGGCACTGGGTCACCAGGCATCAGGTCAGTTGGCTCGCCAGCGGCACCGCGTCATCTGGCAAGGCAGTGGGCACGAGTCACCAGGCACGACAGTGGGCTCTGAGTCAATTGGCACGACAGCGGGAACCGGGTCATCAGGTACCGGATCGTCTGGCTCGACAGCAGGCACCGGGTCATCTGGCGCTGGATCATCTGGCTCGACAGCGGGCATCGGGTCACCAGGCATGACAGCGGGCACTGGGTCATCAGGCATTGGATCGTCTGGCTCGACAGCGGGCATCAGGTCACCAGCATGACAGCGGGCACCGGGTCATCAGGTACTGGATCGACAGCGGGCACCGGGTCATCTGGCCTTGGATCGTCTGGCTCGACAGCGGGCATCGGGTCACCAGGCATGACAGCAGGCACTGGGTCATCAGGTACTGGAACGTCTGGATCGACAGCGGGCACCGGGTCATCTGGCGCTGGATCGTCTGGCTCGACAGCGGGCATCGGGTCACCAAGCATGACAGCAGGCACTGGGTCATCAGGCATTGGATTGTCTGGCTCGACAGCGGGCATCGGGTCACCAGGCATGACAGCGGGCACTGGGTCATCAGGCATTGGATCGTCTGGCTCGACAGCGGGCATCAGGTCACCAGGCATGACAGCGGGCACCGGGTCATCAGGTACTGGATCGACAGCGGGCACCGGGTCATCTGGCCTTGGATCGTCTGGCTCGACAGCGGGCATCGGGTCACCAGGCATGACAGCAGGCACTGGGTCATCAGGTACTGGATCGTCTGGATCGACAGCGGCACCGGGTCATCTGGCGCTGGATCGTCTGGCTCGACAGCGGGCATCGGGGTACCAAGCATGCATGACAGCAGGCACTGGGTCATCAGGCATTGGATTGTCTGGCTCGACAGCGGGCATCGGGTCACCAGGTATGACAGCGGGCACTGGGTCATCAGGTACCGGATCGTCTGGCTCGAGAGCGGGCACCGCGTCATCAGGTACCGGATCGTGTGGATCGACAGCGGGCACCGGGTCATCTGGCATGATAGGATCATCAGGCTGGAACAGTTCATCAGGCTGAAGTGCGGGTGCCAAGGCACCAGGCTGAACCACAGAAGGCAGGTTCTCAGACGGCAGGCTCACCGGTTTGGATACTGGCAGGATGGTACTGGTTGGAAAGAATTTTCACTTTTTTCTGGTTTTAACTATTGGAGCACTGCAAGTAACCATAGGTCTGCAAACGAATGGAGCAGCTGAGGACAGAGAAGAGCTGGAAGATGGAACAGAGGAGGGAGCAGCCGCCACAGAGGACCTCTCCATAGGGCCAAAGAAAGGATAGGTGCAGCGAGTGGAAGCAGGGGACTGGTATGTGGTAGTTAGCAGAGTATACTGGGCCGTCACTGGGGGTGCTGTCGGGGATGCAGGAAGAGTGCCTTGAGCAGAGGAATGACGTTGCAAGCTGACTGAGGCTGGGTGCAACAAGTCTGACCATGTCTGCAGTATGGGTTGAACAAAGCTGAGCTTACACAAAGCCTGTCTGACCAAAGACTGCACTGCGTTTATACAATCCCTTAATACCTGTGGTGAACATGCAGCATAATGCTCCAAGAAGCAATCCACATCATCCTCTAATAACCATACCAGGGACTCTACCTGGTCTGCACTAAATGGTGGCAAAAAGTCATTCCTGCTTTCAGGGGTACCAGATGAAGCCAACTCTACACAAACCTGAATCAAAGGTTGCACCTCAGAGAACTCTGTGCCCTGATCTACTAGAACATGAGCGATCCGTATACATTCTAGCAGTTGATCCCGGGTATACTCCCTCAGAGTCTGATAAGCATATTCTCTGTCATCAAAAACCAGCAGCGACAAGTACACAACCTCATTAAGATCCATCCTTCCCAGCAACAAGCCAAGATGGCTTCCCTGTGCAGCCACTTCTGGTCAGGATTGGCTTGGTGTAACGTCAGGGCTCCGGGTATGACCAGAGGTATGTGAACTGACGCAGGGAAACGCAGGCTTCAGATATGTTATAAACAATATAATTTATTAATACTAACAATACATAAACGCAGTGCAATACTAAAACATAACACAGTGCAAACGAACCAAACCAAACCACCCACAGATAACAATACATACAATGCAAGCGTAGTCAGGCAGGCTGGGTCAATAACAATCGGGCAGGTAGGAACAGGGGGTCAGGCAGAGAATGGTCGGGGTCACAAGCCAGGGATCAAACAGGAGAAGTCAGCAGAGGTCCGGATCAGGCAGGGTCGGCAACAAATCAGTCAGGCAGGAACAGGAACAGGAACAGGAATGCAGGTAACAAGATACAGGGGCCCATGGAAAAACACACACCAAGGCACAGACTGCAGGTCTGGCCATCCCTTAAATACACCTGCAATCAGCCTCAGGTGTTTTGGCTGACTGCAGGGTTGTGTCTCTGATTGCTGAGAGCTCCCACTGGCCAGCTCTGGTACTGCAGCCCACAAGGCAGGTGAGTCCCACCATTATTGGCAAGGGGGGAGAGATCGAGCAGGAGTGACGGGACGTGTCTCCCTGGATGACCGTGAGATTCCTACACCTTCTGTACTCCCTCTAATGCGTTTTAAAAGCCTTGGTAATGTGAGCAGTTTCAAATAAAGTGTATGTTATTAATTTTATTGGCGGTATCACACTATGTCCTGTATGTTTTTTTGGTGACACTGTGAGCAGAGTGTCTGAGGCTGCGGGACACAGCAGAGGTTCCTGAGTGGATCAGCCTGTGGAGTTCCTGGATTACTATAAAGCCTATTATATTGGGAAAGTTGGTAAGGGTACCCTTACTGCATTTAGAAGTGTACACACTTTTAGTATTGGAGTTTTTGTGATGTGGCACTGAAATAGTGTTATGTACACTGAAGTGGTTTTTTCACTGATCACGTGTGGTTCACGCTTTTTTCACTATTTTTCACCCATTTTCACTGTAGGAAGTACAGATAAAGTTTTTATATATATAATTTTAAAAAGGATAATGCACTATATGAGTTTTTTTTTTTTGAGGTGGACTGTTTTTTGGAATATCGTTGGAAGAATTGATGGGACATTTTAGCGTATTTGCATAAGATTTATAGTGGACTATATATTGGTAGTGGATTTACTCTATGGAAAAATTGGGTATTAATGTGATTGTAATTGGTTTTTGGAGCATTTGTTAAATAACACTGTCACGTATATAGTTTGGTACACTTTCAGGGGAAGGTGTTGATTGTGTTATAGGGTAATTATATTAGTAAGGAGGTGGTTGATTTTTAATTAAGAGAAATTGCTAATTGCTCAAGGAATTCTAGCAACTTCTGAAGGAACCCTGGTTGAGAAACCATGCCCCAAAAGGTTGTCGATAGCCCCTGGCTATCTGTCTTTATCAGTCTGTTGAAGGTACGGACGCGTCGGCAGGATTGACTTCATCTCAGAAACAACAGACATGTACACACAGTGATAGGTGAAATCAATCTCTCAAGTTTATTAGCGGGAAGAAAATTAATATAACAGAAAAAAGAAAGGTGGGGGGCACAGAGTATCAAAAAGCTGAGTTGTCAGTAATTGATTGGCTGAATACAAATAATACAAGCATTGACGTCAATTCTGAAAAATAATGAGAAGTTTCATTTTCCCAGGAATAAGGAAAGTTTCTACATTGTTTTAAAACACTTATCTACTACATACAATAGAATCTCGCTAGATACTTGTCAAGGCTGTGTACATGATTTTCTCAGGCCTTGAAATCAGTTACAAGTATCCAACAGTTGTTTTCCCATGGACAGAAATATTTGACTTTTAATTATATCATAACAGAAACAGGTGCTGTTAGTACAAAGAAATAATTGGATACTATCTCCGCCTCTACCAAGGCTAAACTACGATAAGAAATAGAAGAATATTGTGAGTACAGTTCTGTAACACATAACTAACACAGCATATTTTCATTAACTCATTCTGGGTATAATACAAAACAATTAATCAACATGTTTAGTACAAAATATAAAATGGAGTGGGGGAAAACAAAATGGCAGACCTAAAAGACATACATTTCCCTTCATGCCCTAGAGTATGCTTTCCATCAACTTTAATAGGATTTGCGGCTAAGTTTGAGTTTGTCAAATTTCATACTGGATTCGCCAAACCCTCGGCGATTTGAACCCAGCCAACTTCCCTTATCCCTAATGAGATCTCATATTTTCAATACAGTAGGAATATACAACTGTTCAGTTCTTCATTAGCAGACCTTGGATTCCATAGTGGAGCTAGACCACTGTTATATGACAGTTCATAAAAGCCTTTGTTAACCCTAACCTCTCTTATTTGCTCCCTTTTTATCTGTTACATACACTGCTGAAAACAATGTATTATATCTGTTTGAGCAGTACAAAAAAAACAATACCTGTACATCTTGTCAGCAGTTCAGCACTGCCCTGTATCTTTTGCTCTCTGCCTGCATTGTCTGAAGGACACTATTGAGCCCTCCTGGCTGCTATTTTTGACTAAAGGATTAATAAGTGTCATAATAAATAATAATAACTAGAAAAGCTACAATTTCTGGGGAAATTGTGTGAAGTGTTCTTGCCTCCACTAGTAGTCTACAACTGGAGTGGGCGGAGTAACTGGGTGGAGCGGCTTGAGTAACTGTTGTGTGGTTGGAGTGGCTGGAGTAACTGTGAAAAGGTCAATGGGCGGCATTAGTTGCAAACAAATGGTCATATTGTGAAAACTATCAGGACTATGGCTTAGCCATGGGAAGTTTTAGTGGCAGCAGGGATAGCTGAACGTTTTGATATAAGATTTGTGTAGGTGGGCTTGAAAATGAGGGAGTGATGGCAGTTTAGAAATCATGTCCTGATTTTTCAGCTCACACTCTAGCTTTTGTCAGCTCCCACTCTAGTTTTGAACATTCCGCCATTCATTCCTATGGGACCAATTTCACCACAAAAACGCCGATATTTCGTGAACCATTCGGCGAAACGTTCCACAAAGTAATAGCACACCAATCGGGAACAATCCGCATGTTTCGGTATATTACTGTCTATGTAGTGTAAAAAACTATGGGAGGAGTTAGGGTGGTAAATTTGGCTATAATAATAAGAATATATATGTGAAATAACAGTAAGTGGTCTTGCCATGCAAGAACACTTAATAACTAGACAATCTACAATTTCTGGGGAAATTGTGTAAAGTGTTCTTGCCGCAACCTTTACCAAATGATTGATGAAATGTAAGCAGTGCACATTGCAAGCCTGATAGTGAGAAATGCATTTCAGCTTGTATTTTGAAGCTCACAGTCCAGCCTCGTGAGTCATCTGCCTCTTGAGTGACCTTTGGTTGCTGCACCTGGAGAGGGCGGAGTAGGCTCACTGTGCTGAGACAGCTGGGTTGCTATGACAACTCACTCTGAGAGGAATATCAGCATGCCTGTTCTAAACAGGCTTTTTAAACTTGCCAAGTTCAATTGCGTGCTAAAATTAGTATTAATTAAATATTAAAGAAAAGAAACATAGTGTCTTATCCGGGATATCAATTATTTATTTTTATTTTAATTTTTTTTTTATTTTAATTTTAATTTTTATTTTATTTTATTTTTAATTTTATTTTTATTTTTATTTTAATTTAATTTTAATTTTATGTTAATTTTAATTTTATTTTTATTTTATTTTTTTTTTATTTTAATTTAATTTTTATTTTATTTTTATTTTTATCCAGACTGAATAACAATACCATCTCATTTATACAGAAGGAACTGTCATTCCCACTGCAAATATTTTTTTTTATTTTAATTTTAATTTTTTTTTATTTTATTTTTCATTTTATTTTTTATTTTAATTTTAATTTTTAATTTTATTTTTAATTTTATTTTATTTTTTTATTTTAATTTTAATTTTATTTTATTTTTATCCAGACTGAATAATAACACCATCTCATTTATACAGAAGGAACTGTCATTCCCACTGCAAATATTTTTTATTTTTTATTTATATTTTTCATTCATAGTTTTTGTTTTTTCACATTGATAAATTAATTTATTTTATATATTTACACAAATCATATATTTTTAAGTATAATTAATTGATGTAATTATTTGATTATCGGTGGTACACACTTATGAATTCATTATATCACATAAGGTAGAATATATTGGAGCGCGGTACACTACTGGCATTCGTGAACATTTTTAGTGACAGCAGGGTTAGCTGAACGTTTTGATATAAGATATGTGTAGGTGGGCCTGAAAATGACATAGTGATAGCAGTTTACAAATCATGTTCTGATTTTTCCTTCCACACTGCAGCTTTCTCACTTCTCACTCTAATGTGACTCAGCTGCCCCCTGAGTGACCTTTTGGTGCACCTGTGACTCAGTCAGTCACAGGTGTGTGACAAGCTCTGCTCTAAACACAGTGCTCAAACTTGCCAAATTCACTGGCGATTGCCATCTTCAAACGCTTGTAGTTTTTTTAAAAGTATAAATGCTGTAACCGTGAAAAGGTTTATACTGTGACAATCACAAGAAACAGACCTAAATTTTGATGTATAGTATGTCTCTGCAATATTAAAAATGAAGGCACAGTCGCAGTTTAAAAACGTACCCCTTAACATTTCAGGTGCTGTGAGTGAAGTTTCAATGAAAGTCAATGGGGAGGGGTTATTTGCAAACAAATGGTCATATTCTGAAAACTATCAGGAGTATGTCCTAGCCGTGAACATTTTTAGTGACAGCGGGGTTATAGCTGAACGTTTTGATATAAGATATGTGTAGGTGGGCTTGAAAATGACATAGTTATGGCAGTTTACAAATCATGTTCTGATTTTTTCCTTTCACACTGTAGCTTTCTCACTCTAATGTGACTCAGCTGCCCCCTGAGTGACCTTTGCTTGCACCTGTTACCTCAGTCAGTCACAGGTGTGTGACAGCTCTTCTAAACAGGCTATTTAAACTTGCCAAGTTCACTGGCGATTGCCATTTTCAAACGCTTGTAGTTTTAAAAGTAAAATGCTACCATGAAAAGGGTTATACTGTGACAATCACAAGAAACAGACCTAAATTTTGATGTAGTATGTCTCTGAAAGATAAAAAAATGAAGGCACAGTCGCAGTTAAAAACGTCCCTTAAAATGTCTTGTGTCTAAAGTGGAGTTTCAATGAAAGTCAATGGGAGGGATGAGGTCCAAACAAATGGTCATATTCTGAAAACTATCAGGAATATGGCTTAGCTGTGAACATGTTTAGTGACAGCAGGGTTAGCTGAACGTTTTGATATAAGATATGTGTAGTGTGGGCTTGAAAATGGAAGAGTGATGGCAGTTTACAAATCATGTTCTGATTTTTCTGATTTTTCCTTTACACACTCTAGCTGTGCTCTGCTGCTCAATGCATTCCTATGGGAAAATTTCGCCGCAAAAACCGCGATATTTCTTGAACGATTCGGCGAAACGTTCCACAAAGTAATAGCAATCCGATCGGGAACAATCCGCACGTTTTGATATATTACTTGTATTTGTAGTGTAAAAACTGTGGGAGGAGTTAGCGTGGCAAATATGGCTATAATAAGAAACGGAATAAGAATAAGAATATATATGTGAGATAACAATAAGTGTTCCTTGCTATGCAAGAACACTTAATAAGTTGACAATAGGATACGTCTTTTATCAGAAGAAAACTGGGCAGGGCTGAGACAACTTAGTTTCAGTCTGTGTCCCATTTGGAAGATTTCCCTTCAATTCCTGTACTGAAGACACAACAGGAAGTAAAAGGAAATCCCTCAAAAGGTGAGGGAAATCTCTGGTAGTCACCAACACTACCATTCCCATTGGAAGTTTTTCCCTTTATTCCTGTTCTGGTGACCGCTCAAAGGATTTTCTTTCACTTCTGGTGATAGTGGTCACCAGGACAAACAGGATTAATCCCACTAATGGGGACACAGCAATAAACACCTGATTGGTATTTTAATTCCTTTCCAGTAGATCGAAAAAAAAAAAAAAAGTAGTGCCCTTCAATTATACGTTATGTATAACAGGTGTTATATGCTATTGGTTCTGCTTCTGCTGTTATATGTGATATTTAGTTCAAGCCTTCCGTTTGTTAAATTGTTAGTGTTTATTGTAATGTGATTAAGGCTGCCACCCTGCTGCTGGCTATTAGGGTAGGATTAAGGAAGAAGAACCCCTATCTAATTTGGTTTGTAATCCAACCACCAATATCAAACCCTAAACCCACCTTCTTAGTGATAATAAATATGTATGAACATTTATACAGGTACAGTATGCTAAATAATAGCATTAATAAATATTTATTGAATTTATGTTTTAATTTTAAAGGGAACCACTATCTTCCTCAACTTGTCCTCTGTTCTGAAGGATGAGCAAGTCTGGGAGAGACCATATCAATTTTACCCCAAACATTTCCTCGATGAGAATGGCAAGTTTATAAAGCGAGAAGCTTTCATGCCATTTTCAGCAGGTAAATATCTTTTTGTGCTGTTAAACGTTTTTCTTTGTTTGACTCAGGCAGCATCTGTGCAGGAGCCAAACTGTTCTTCTATGTTTGTCCAGTAGCTCAGTCACAAACGTTCACTCATTTCCTTGAGTGTTATTGGCTTACATTTATATTGCATAAAGATGGCAATACCATACATTCTAGAATTCAAGGCATTATCAACTCAAAAATGCCTAATTTTACAGGACTATTCATTGGATTATATACAGTATATTCAGTATGTATTAAAGCGGAACTATAGGAAAACTTTTTTTTTCATTTTGGATAGAGTAAGGGATGACTAAAAACCCCTCAGATTTTTTTCACCATCTGAGTCCCACTGTGGAGATTTCTTTCACTTCCTGTCCTATAGTTAAACAAGAAGTGAGAAGAAATCCCTGCAAATTAAGGGAATTCCTTGGGGACCCCCAGGTCACAAGAACTAGTGTTCCCATTGGAAGATTTCACCTCTATTACTTTTCTGGGTACCACCCAAAATTTTGGATTTTCTTTTACTTTTAATGATAACAGTAAACAGGACGAATAGAGGGCGAATCTCCGCATAGACAGCAATAAAAACACTCTACTCCTTCTCCACTCTGTCCAAAACTAGAAAAAAAATGTTTGCCTTTAGTTATACTTTAATTTTAGGTATTATATTATTATATACTTGGAAGTCATTTTATGAGACTTAAGATATTTCCTCTGCATATTTGAAGGTAACTCATCTAGTGGAATTATGAATCACAATAAATAAATAAATAATGGAGGAAAACAGTAGGAGATAAGCTGTAGAAAGAAAGCAGCACCAGCAAGCCTTTAGTTGAGATCTTCTTACATGATCCCTACAAACTTGTTAGCGGGTGATGGCCTGCCTATGGCCACAGCGACAGCCGGATCACCTCTAACATAAAAGACTGACCTTCTGGGGCATACCAGCCCTTGCTCTGTATTCTCCACTCTCTCTCCCTTGATGCGGCTGGAGACCAGATCCTCTGTCCACCCTCCTGGTTGCATGGCTGTACCCCCTCACTCCCAGGGGTATCAGGACACTGGCCCACTTCTCTCAGGGTTCAACAGCCAGGTGACATCACTGTAACAGTACTCATTCCATCTACTGCATTATATGAATAACCCACAAAGAGGTCACATGCAGATAAATGTCTTCTTTACTGAAGATTTGCAGTATATAACAGTCAGTTAGGCCTTTGGGCCAAACACAATCCCAACAAAATGATTCTCTCCCAAAAACAGTCATTAGCCTTATCTAGCTGGTGAGGTATCCCTTGTACCCATCTCCAGGGGGAAAGGAAAGGATAAAGTCTCTGCAACTAGATGCTGCCTCCTCTGATAGCTCTCCTTACCAAGGTCAGTAACGTTTTCCTATTCTTACTCCTTCCAAACTGTATAAGAGATCCTCCCAGGCAGGAAGTGAGGTCACTCTTTCTTGGAATGATTTAAAAAGGTAACATTTTTAAGTGGGCCGCCTAGTGGACCCCACCTTACCCTGCCTACAAACTGATTTTCAGCTGAATTTAGAAGTATGGGGTCCTGGATTGCCTTCCCTCAAAACCTCCTACACGTGCCTGTAAATAGACATCTGTGATTAGTTTCGTAACTAATTGAAATTCTGAAAAAAAAATTGTTATTTGGAGATTCAGATGTATCCAAATTTATGAATCACAATAGCAACGAATTTCAATGAATCTGAAATAAATTAGAACAAAAAAATTTTTTAAATTCGATTTTGAAAATGGATTTGAATTTTAAAATGATTTTGAATTTTAAAATTAATTTGAATTCAAATTTGAAAATGAAGTTGAATTCGAAATGGAAACATATTGCAATAAAGACAGTAAGGTATAAAAGTGAAATAAGATGATAATGCCTACTTAGGTTGCTTTATACAATAGAAAAAAATAGAACAGAATAGGAAATAAAATAATAGAATAAAACAGAATAGAGTAGAAAATAAAGGAACAGAATAGAAAAGAAAATAAAGGAATAGAATAGAATAAAACAGAATAGAAAAGAACAGAACAGAAAATGAAAGAATAGAATAGAAAATAAAAAATTTGTAAAAAAATAGAATAAAAAAAGAATAGAATAGAAAACATAGATTAGAATAGAATAGATTAAAATAGAATAAAATAGAATGAATATAGCCGCCTTCTGAAATTGAAATTTCTAAATTCAAATTGATTTAAAAATAACAAATATATTTTGGAATTTCAAATCAATTTGAAAATAACGAACATACAAAACGGACTCCGATAAGGAATACTTCTAACATAATGAATATGATTAAACAAAATGAATAACTTATAGAACAAATTTGAAATGAAACAAATGTTTCCATAAACAAAATGAAATCTAAGCTGCTAGTGTGCTTACTAACAACTGCCAAATCATAGGCAAAGAAAGAAAACAGTATAAACTTGCTTCATTTGCCTGCATATACTGTAGTTGTGGTGTATTAAAGCACTGTCTGAAACAATGATCTACTGTCTGCCTGTCTTCTCTTGCAGGTCGACGTGTTTGTCTAGGGGAAAAGCTAGCCAGAATGGAGCTTTTCTTGTTCTTCACAACTCTGATGCAGCAATTTACTTTTGAGATACCAAGTAAAAAGCCTCGTCCAAGAGATGATCCCATCTATGCATTTACGCTTAGTCCACATCCCTATGAGATTTGTGCTGTGCCCAGAGTGTAACAGACTAAATAAGTCAAAATGTACCAGTGTTCCTAAGGTGTTCATTTTCTCTTAACAGTCCTTGGCTACTGCAAAATCAGGTGCTTAAAGCCCAAATCCAGGCAAAAATGAAATTTTGCATCAGTTACCTTACTCCTCAGTCTTGATTGCTAACTCCTCTTCCTAAGCCATCATGCAGTGTAATGGAAAAGTCTCAGTTTCCTCTAAGATCCAAGCTAATGCCTGGTCCCTGGGTACCAGTCATTTTTGCCTGGTCCCTGGGAACCAGGCATTTTTACCTGCTTGTTATCTTCTTGGTACTGGTCCTCTATATGCCCCCATGAGTTCTCCTGCCTTTTGAGCCTATGAGGGAGGACATGGCTGCTGGAAATGTCACCTCCACCAAACGGAGGTGTCCACATCCAGCAGGAAGTAATGTGGACACCTGAAGAAGGAAGTAAATAGAAGGAGAGAGAAGGATTGTCAAGTGACCGAGGCTTCAGGTAAGTAAAATTGGCATTTGGATAGATTTTCTTCTTTGAAGACAAAGGTTTATTAGTGGGGTGGGGTGCTAATATCCTGGATTTGGGCTTCAAAGTGAGCCAAAGCTTTTTTTTTTTTTTTTTTTTGGACGAAATAGGAATGTTTACAATACTGTCTGTGTCCAGACATACTCCTACGTTCTGTTTATAATTACTGATGTCACCAGTAAAGAATATGAGAGTATATCTAAAATTTTAAATTTCTCCCCAAAATAGTAGTAGAAGAGAAAACACACAATGGGGACACCTGATCCAGTGACAAACGTATTTGTTAGGATTATGTCCTTCTCCCTTCCTGTTTTTTCCTCTCTGCCAATGTTTTTAAATCTTCAGACATTAGGATTCACTCTGGCTCAAGTTACGTTCAAGGCCTCCTTCACACCATATGCAGAGACGTGAGGTTTTTTTGCACCCATTTCTGCATGGGCACAAAGAAACTGGTTGTTTCTGCGTAAAAATCTGCAACATATATGCCATTTTCTGTGCAAAAAATAAAACTCACACGACATCAACAGTTTGCTGTGGAAAGCACAGATAGAGAACATTTGTTTTTTTTTTGTGTGCCCCTACAGAGAATTTATATTACATATTTCTGCATAAACCCTCCCCCCAAAAAAACAACAAAAACTCATGACAGCAGTGTTATGGTGAGAACAGGGCACATATTAAATTTTTATTGTCTTCTTGCAGAGACCTACATAAAAAGTACGCACGTCTCTGCACATGGTGATAACAAGCCTATGCAAGTTAAATTTGGGCACGAAGAAAAGAAAAATTTTTTTTCAATGCACCCTGTTCACAACTTAACACTGCTATCATGTGTTTTTTTTTCTGCTCAAAAATATGTGACATATTCTCTGCAAAGGCATGAAAAAAAAATAGTTCTCTATAGATGATGAACTTCACCAGCATAACAAAAAAACTTTAAGGCCTTGTTCACACTACATGTGCATAAAAACGGATGGAAAAATGTACAGATTTTACTTGCATGCGTGTGTATTTATTACGTAGGTCTCTGCAAGAACATAAAGAAAACAATTGTGTCCTGTTCACACCATACCGCTGCTTTCACGTGAGTTTTTTTTCTGCACAAAAATATGTAACATAATTTCTCTGCAAGGGCGCAAAAAGAAGTTGTTCTCTATGTGTTCTATTCACACCGCAATGAGAATGTCATGTGCAGAAAAAACTACATACACGTTGCAGATTTCTGCACAGAAAAAAATCCCCAATCCCCTCATAAAGTCTATCAAAATAAACAGGTAAAGTCCCAAACCACCATATCCTGGAGCGCATGCCAGCTTTGTGGATACAAGCGACGGTGAGAGGGAGAGGATTCCCCCTAGTGAGCTGTTTGTGTTGGTGCCCCTACAATTTATTAATAATTTCAATTACCCTCTATTGAATAGAACCTACTACATTATGGATGTTTTCTTTGGTATTTATTCATACTCATGTTGGGTAAATGAGTATTTATAACAGGAGCTGTCTATATGAGGACTCCCACAAAAAGGATATGGCATTCCATGTTCAGGATTTGACATGCTTGTTAGCTACTTTGTTGCCCAAAACCATCTGGTGAGTGCCCAATTCACCTGAACACATAGGGAAGCACTTTTATATGTAAAGGAGAAGTTATCACCTTAATATTTCCATATTAACACGGTGGTTTGGGACTTCACCTGTTTATTTTGATAAACTTTATGATTTATTATTGCATTTGAATATTTGTGTGTTTGATTTATTACACTGTGGGCAATATTGTATTCATTTATATACAGGTCACATTTATTGATTATGAAGGGCTAGCACCTACAGGTATTTCTGTTCTCTTACAATTCTGCAGATGGTGTGAATGAGACCTAAAGGCCCCTTTCACACGGGGTGGACTCTGGTGTCCGTTGATCCCCGCTGGGCAGGCGGATGACAGACACAGTCCATTGTTCTCTATGGGGAGGATGGAAAGGACCGCCTGTCTGTTTCCAACCAACTGTCATCCCATCTGCTAGATGGGTGGGGATCCCCATCTGTTTTTGGCGGACTGGATTGGATCAGATGAAGGCTGGTGTAAACGGACACATTTCTGTTTACATTCCCCTCCCCATAGAGAACAATCGTTGGTCCAATTGGGTCCACCTGAAAAACGGACACGTGGAACCGATCATCCCCCGCTCATGTGAAAGGGGCCAAAAGCACAAATTAAATTCTACAAAAAGATGTCTCTGCAAGAAAAGTGAGTATACTCCTTTCTCTTGATGCATGGCCTGTTGAACATTTCTCTACTGAATTATCATCAGAAGTCTGCTGGGAAGCTAAATGCCGCTATGTTAAAGAGAATTTGCCCATTCTGTTAAAAGAAAAAAAACAAAAGAGAATTTGTGGCAGCAGGAAAGGTGGCTATGAACTACATTTGCAGGGACCTCTTGTGGGATTTTAATTTCATGACAGCAAGGTCGCTTGTACAGAGGTCACAATTGCGACATTACACCATGCTCTAAAGGGTCCATGTGGCCCCCTTTACACCTGGATAGGAGGGGAGGCAGAGGCAACATATAAAGGAACCAATCCCCTCCATTTTCCTCCTGCAGTTTCCTCTACATGCTGCCCCGCCACCCCTCCTATCCACCTCCTGTTGCCCCCGATCCTTCCTCATCCTCCTACAGTGCTGCAGGGTTCTGCCCTCTCCTTTCCTGCCGGCTGCTGTGGGGGATCAATCAGGATGGAGAGTGGGGAAAGGGCCAGTCAGTGAGTCATTTACCAACCCCTTCCATGTCTTAATCAGTAGTCAATGATCCGTACCAATCACTGACTCTGTTCATTCATACGTGAGGCATAGTAAACTGTTTACTATGCTTCAGTGTATGAATGAACAGGAAGCTCTCTACAGAGCTATTCCAGTCCATTCATTCTGTACAGCTGAGGCTGCAGAGAAGGAGATTGAGGGCTTTGTTCTTAATCTCCTTTCTCTGGTAAAAGGTGAAACAGGTCTAGTTTAGACCTGTTCTGTTTAGGCTCCTGATACTTCACTAAAACCCCCAAGGGGGCTCCTAAAAAATTGTAAAAAATAATAAAAAATAAAATTGTAGGATAAATAAATAAATACAATGGTAAATACATAAATACAATGGTAAAAAAAAAATGTAAAAAAATAAAATATCAAAAAATAAAAAACTGACACCAGTGGAGGAACTACCAGGGTTGCAAAGGTCGCCCTGAATGTTTTTGGTTACACTTCTGCATGACAGGGTTGCTATAAATAAAGCAGTTTACTGTGATTTTTCAATAATTATTTTTTAAGTCTGTTTGAAATAAGACTAATAAATCCCTAAATCATTGGAAATCTGATTTAAACAAAATTATACATTTTGAAATCTGTTTCATATACTTCATATATTTTATGTATTGTTTACCACTTAAAGTTTTGTTAGTTTTGTCAGAAAACTAACAAACAAACAAACAAAAAACTACAGACCAACTAAGGCATTCTGATTTACAGAAAGTCATATTATAAAGACATATGGGGATTGCTTTACTAAAAGAATAGGGACTGTTCACTTAGCTTAGTGACTAATGCATAGTTATGTTCACTTCAATCATCCAAATTGTGTTTTTTCTATTTTCCCTCTCACCTGATTGGGTACTGAAAGTAATCATAGCATTCACCTTATTTGCTAAACTGTATGAATTTAGGCCCTGTTCGCACATACCTCAGTGACCTGCATTTTACTGCCCTGGAAGAATACAAGTCAGTGCAAGGACCTATGGAAACCAGTTGTGTTGTATGTGTCCTGTTCTTACCACAATGCTTGTGTCATGTGCAGTGCATTGCGATAAAATGCAATATGTATGCATTTAAATGCAACACACATAAATGCATATAAATACACATTAATGCAACACAAGACTATTGAGAAAAAACCCAGCTTTTTAATATAATGTTCCTTACAAGGACCCATATGGCAGCCATGTTAGACAGTAAGTAGCGAGTGTGCATGGAAAGCTGGCTAGTGAGGGGTCTCAATGGCAGGGTTTATAGAAACAGATGAGTGACATCATAAATCCTGGTATAAGGCCCCACATTGTGTGAGCAGTGGATGGTTGAACTGGGTGGACTTTTATCTTTTTTTCAGTCTATGTAACTATGTAACACTGTTTGCTAATGCCTCTCCAAAACAAAAATGTTATTCCCTCACTCCTTCTTTCAGTCCACAAGTAGGAAAAGGATATGATGTCAGAGGAAATAACCTTTAAAAGTATACCAATTTAATGAGCATGAAAATGCACATCAATGGAAGGCAATACACATCCACATTTGAGCATTTGTATACATTTTAATACACGGTTATGTGTGAACTGGTCCTTAAACTTTCTAAGCAAACATTCCTTTTAGGTGAACGGTCTCTATTCCAGGGGTCAGCAACCTTTAGATCATGATCTACCAGTATATCTCTGCCAGATGACTGGTAGATCACGGTCTGG